TACCCAGGTAATTTGCGAAATGATCTGATAACTGAGCTCTGAAAAAGCCCGAAAACTCGAGTTTTCACGCAATACTCAAATCAAATGACCGGATATTCAGATATTAACATCATTATTTCCGAACAGTCAATTAAATACGCCAGAGGTCGAATTAATTTAATTAACTTTTTTGTCAACACATTATGACTATTATGACGAGCATTTCTATGTTAATGAGAATCTCATGAAAAACACGAAATCGATAAAATTAATTGAGATTAAAGGGCTGTGCTCTAATTGAATGTCTGGCAAATAGTGTCACCCCGAAGTTCATAATACATGTATACCAGCGGCGCGGAAATCCACGTGCCAAGATTCTATTTTTGCGATCCATTTAAGAGAGAATATCTGCACCGCATGTTGCTTCTTCATGAGCAATTTGCCGAAACATAACTATTCATGAATAGTCTCGCTTCTCCGAATCGACATAAATCGAACGAACGCGAACAAAATATGGTAATCGGCTATAGGATAAACTTGGGTATGATGGTCATACGGAAAAGATAACTATAGGCTATAATTTCTCCAACAACTGCTAAATAATTCCTCTCCGTAATCATTCTCAAAGATAATTGATTGAATTTACAGTTTATGCGCATACATTATTCGAAATAACAATATTGTGAATATCACATTATATTTTTACTCTCGACTGCCTGTATTTATTAAAAATTGGTACAACGTCGAATAAATTACAGTTAAGCTGTCGTGATCAACGTCTGATACATAACGCAAGTATGTCGTTTGTAATATGATGCATAATTTTTATTTTAACACGTTCGCGACGTCGTGACCCACTGGTGGGTCACACTTGGTTTATATTAATAGACGTGCGTGTCCACCGGTGGATTACACACTATGAAGCATTGCACTGTTTCTGAAAGTCTCTGTGTGTATCGGGGGCTCCATATATCATAACTGCGGCTACATGAGAAATGTATCTATGTACTAGCAACATGGTTTGTCGATCAGACAATTATAGCAAAATAACATGTTTATTCAAGGAAAGCTGAACACGAACACTGTAAACTTGTGCGTCCTTTGGAGTGAACCAATGGGATTTATTGATTGTCGCGAACGTGTTAATTTTCACTAATTTTTTTTCTATAAATATTATGGCCGCCTTTCCCCTTTTTGAGTTTGAATAAATTTGGGTAAGATGGCTCACTTTTTTCGGGATAAGGACCATTACACGTACAGTAATTTTAGTCGTAACCGTAAAATCATAAGAAAAAAGAAAAGTGATTAATCACAATCGAGCATTCCTATATTCCTTTAGCGCAAGAATAATCAGTTATTGGTCCATTTTCTTACAGCTTTACAGTTACGACTAAAATTACGTGTAAAGACTTTAAGTTAGTCAATATAATCGATGTATATTAGCATTAATACTGCAGACGGTGAACTATCAACATTATTCTCGCAGTCGACAATTACTGATATTTTTTAATATTTCTATCGATAACTGTCGATAATTACCGATAGTACTATAGTTTTCCACCTGTATATTACAAAAATATATATTCAATATTATAAAGTAAACTAAATATGTGAAATTATAAATTTCTTATTTTATAAAATGTTAGATACATCTTTAACATAAAATATGTATAATCAACTGTCGCATAACGCTATGACCAGTTCATCAAAAGTCAGATAAAAGTAAGATAGCCAATTCATTAATGTTTTATAATATTTGGATAATATATTATTATGATCAAAAAGAATGGTGGGAACGATTTATTTAAACTGCGCGCGTGTAAAATAGCGCTATTGTCATTTTTTGGTTGTACAATTTTCATCGACATCTAGCAGCAATTTGTATGTCTGTTTTCGTTTATAAATAAACGCTTGTTCTATGTGTAAAGAATTTTTACTTCAACGATTTTTCAAAATATAATTGATCAAAGAACGTGCATTAAATTTTGTTTTTACAATGGAATTACTGCTACAAAAACGTTGAAAATATTGCAAAAAGCCTTTGGTGACTACTTTCTATCAAAAATAAGAGTTTTCGAGTGATACAAAAGATATTCAAGGAAGACAGAAAACGCGCCGAGAAGATAAAGCACGTTCTGGTAGACCATCCACTGATCAACTGATGAACAACACGTAGCTCAAGTCAACAAAGAATATTTATTTATACGTTTTGTGTCGTTTGCGCGAAGCAATTCGTGGAAAACGACCTGATTTGTGGCGAGATAACTCATGGATTTTGCACCACGATAATGCGCCTGCTCACAATGTTCTTCTTCGTGAAATTTTGGCCAAAAATTCTACAAATACGGTTCCGCATTCACCTCCGTATTCACCTGATATGACACCGTGTGACCTTTTCCTGTTTCTTCGATTAAAATTTCCACTTCCGCCGTGGTCACCGTTTTGAGTTGATTGATGCCATAAAGAAAATTCGCTGCGAGCCCTTAAGGGATTTCATGAAAGCGATTCTAAAGCATGTTTCAAGGATTGAAAAAAACGTTGGCGTAAGTGTATTGCACTGGGAGGAAATTACTTTGAAGGGGACGAAATAAATTTTGATGAATAAATTAAAATCTTGCGTTTTATTAAACCATTCCCATACATTTTGATCACAGTAGTAGATGATTAAAAAATAATAGAAATAAAAATGTTTTTGTATTTTTAAAAGCTATGACCATCTTACCCGAGTCTACCTTAATCTCTGCTAGCGGAAACAGGATAAAATACACCAGGTTAAGAAACATCATTTCCCCACGTCACTTCACCTCCCCGGCAAGCTCGAGTTATCACATACAGCGCGTCGTCCCCGGATAATCGATAAACGCGCAACTTCCTTCACCTCAAAGTCATTAGATGCTAATGTCTCTATACAGCGTCAACACTCTTTCAGGTTGTCGCGAAGCCACCGCCCCTATTACGCACCAATCGCTCGCAATTTGCGCTCACCCCGACGTGCACACCCCCTCCCCCCGCCTCGGGGTGCGAATCATTTCGTCCATTAACTTGCAAATCAAAAGCATTTTGTGTGCTCGCAGCGTAAGTGGTGGCGCACGTGAGACATAGAACGTAGCAATTTGCTCGCACCGCCAGCCCAGAGGGAAATCACTAGGCGGCGTATCCGTTATGTATACAGCGAGGGAGAGAGACGTCGTGTACGCGCGCAGCAACTGGCGAGGTGTTAATGGTTGCTGGTGGTAGTGATGGTGATAGTGGTGGTGGTGGTGGTGGTGGTGTATTCGCGACGAGTACGAGCGGTGCTTAATATGACTGACACCGCGAACTAGTAATTATCCAACGAGATGCTTTCACGTGTATTGCACTCGCGGTAATGTACACGAGACGCGCGGGAGAACGCGGGATGTTAGTCGTAACACGCTCGTGAGGATGCGATTACTTAAATCCGAGTTTCGAGCATTGCTGATTGCCGTGCGATAGAATAAGTCGCGGGCTTTCCTTCGGAACGTACGAGATACTCATCTCGTTAAATAATGTGATTTCAATTGCGTTATTCAGCTTCAGAGGCTGACTGAGACGAAAACAAATTGACAACTTTCTTCCGAACTCTTCGGAATTTCGGTATCGGAATTTTTTAGACAACCGGTTGTAATCAACCGCTTAAAAATAATGGAGACAATCTTTTTTTGTTTTTTACCTCAAAAATGATCTTGAAAGTCGTACACATTTATTTCCGCAATAATTGAAATATACCAATACGCAAAGTGCTTTTTTCAATCAAAATTTCTTAATCGTTCTCTCTCTCTCTCTCTCTCTCTTTCTCTCTCTCATTTCGTCAGAAAATGGGTTCATTCAACCAAACATATTTTCCGTGTAGTCTTGAATAAAATGATAAGACACGATGAGTCTCTACGCGAATTCTATCATACTCTAACAATTAAATATTCTCCTAACGATAGAGTACAATAGAGTACGATGAAAAGTGTTCATCGTACTCTATCTTTACGCGATATCATTTCTTTCGGATCCGATGCAGTAAAACGGTAGATTGCGATAGAAAACGATGAGAATCTCTGTAAATCTCATCGCTCTCTATCGCTTCCTCCTTTTCGATGTTTTCCTTGATCAAAGAACTTTTGAATCTTGAACTTTACAATTCAATATGAGCTATCTGTGGTACCTCATAAAATAATCTCATAATTGTAATCGCGAATATTCAGCGGCCATATCGGCGCGAGCTTAGACGCGGTGCGGCAGGATGTAGGAGCGGCGAGGTAAGGACATAAACATTGGCGCGTCGTCCTTCCTCTCGCCGCGCGCCGGCAACAGTTCCTTTGTCGACTGGGCAGTGCTCTTTAGCCTGAGCGGCTAGATGCTCCTCCCATAACGTCTCGACGTGCACTCATTCCTCAGATTTCTGTCATTAATAACTCGATAATTATTGCGAATCTCACAAAATGGTATGGGACTTTTATATTTGTTTTAACCCGCTCTATGTCTCCACGAGCTCTGCCAGATTAGTTATAAGATACCCTGTATACTTTTAGAAAAAACTTTTAGCGCACTTTTAGAAAAAACGAAAAAAGGAGTAATATATCTGTGTGTTACACTGAATTTTCATGTAATCGCCGAAGCAATTATCTTCCTACCTTTCTATTCTAAGAGAGGATTCATACTTGGGAAAAAAGCAGAAAGCAGAAAGGCAGAAACCAATCAGAATTCGCGCTGGTAATCTGTCTCTCTTGAGAGAGAAGAGATCAAGATTTTATTTTGTATCTATTTTTATCTGTATCTTCATATTTGTTCGAATAAAAGCACGCATATATTGTTCGATAAAAATGAGTATCGCTATTTCAATGTACGATATTTGTTTCCATCTAGATAAGATTATGTAAATAATTATACAGATTAAACTCTGATACCACAATTTATCTTTATCTAGATGATATAAATATATATTGGATAAAAGTATAAAAAAATTTTAATGGATTTCTTCAAGATATAATTGATCCAAGTTTAGTATTTACAAGATATGTACAGGATGATCCAGAACTAGAAGTACAAGATTTGTTTTGTAAATGAAACAACGAAATTATCTGTAAATTATCATTTTTATTATACCAATGTGTTCGTTAGGAATGGGAATTACGTATGAAAAACAACATCGTATAAATGACCGCCTCTACTTTTTTATTACAAATTACTACTCGTTAGTAAAGTTTTCAACAATTTTTTGCAACATAAAAGGTTGAATTTCATCAATTTCTCGTCGAATATTTTCCTTTAAGCATTCCGTAGTTTCAAGATCGGCGTAAACTCTCTCCTTCAACTAACACAAAAGAGAATAATCCAGAGACATCAAGTCGCAAGATCTTGAGAGCCAGTGATGTCATCATTCTGCGAAATAACGCAAGGAAATTTCTCATGCAATAACTGCATGGTTTCACGAGCTGTATGATATGTCATGCCATCCTGTTGAAACCACATGCCACTCACGTCAAAGTCACTTAGTTTTAGCCATAAGGAGTTGGAGATTATGTCGCGATATCGTTCAACATTGACAGTGACAACTTTTCCAGCCTCATTTTCGGAACCACAATGTTTCCTATCGAACGAGCATTACGGCGTCATATAAGCACAGGTTTATTACACAAATTAAACCCTCGTTTTCAAATTTCTTAATTAATTTGCGAATTGTACTGTTAGATGGGGAATGTTTTCTTTCACAAAAATCGCAAAGTTTTGTTTGGGTTATCGAAAGCTGATTTAAAAACATTGTACGATATGTACGCACTGCACTGCATATAACGGTCCATTTCGATATTTCCTAACTTCTAGAATACAGTAGACGACACTGAAGAATTGCGACACTGCAGTGCACATGACGAAAACGGCACCAAATTAAAATCCTGCCCCTCTTGTTGGATCACCCTGTAGGTGTATTTTGCGTCAAACATAATCTAAAACAATAGTTATTATTGTTTTGTTATTCTGCCTATAACTAGGCAGAATAAATAAATTGTTTTTAAGAAAATGGCTTAGTTTTCAATTTCTATCACGGAAGTCGTCAAAACTTTCGCGTTCACCTAATATTATATTAATTTGCATTTCAAATTTTTAAACATCTATCTTTAAAAGATTATTTAAAATGATATTCACAAATAATTTAGTGTATATTGCACTGCAAATGTGTAAAATATTGAAATATTTAATTTTACGTCGTAGACGTTGCGTTAGTATTGCATATATCAAACAGCATAACTGAGATTGCATTCAGATTCAGCTATAATCAGAACAGAGTACTAAAAGGAATTTACATGTTTTATCTTATTTTTATCTATCTAACAAGGGGAGGACGCATCAACCGGGAAACAGTTTGGAACGAAACTTACGGAGTTAATAGTACTTGACTACTAATAACTCATGATAATAGCATACGACGCAATACCTCTTCGTTTTCGAGAAAAAAAGGTCTAAAGAAAAGAGCCAACAAAGTGTACGAGTTAGTAAGAAGGTTATTCAACGAAGCGGCGTAGCGCAGCAGCGAAAGTAACGGACTATACCGAGCTGACGGCTGAGGTTCGATCCTTGCTGTATGGTTCTTTTTTTATTCTGTAAGCATAAAAATGAAACAGAAAATATTACTAAGTAATAACACTGCGTTTCTTAAATATATTATAATAAATATATAGTGTATGAGAAAATTTTTATATAATAATTGCAATGGAAATAGGAGTAAAAATATATTATATTTTCGCTGGAGGATTTTTCGATAATAATTCATTACTCTCGTAAATAGAATTCGCATATACGAGAGCATTAGTGAATTCATCTTTAAAATCTTCATTTTCAAAAGATCTTTCTTCTAGCGATTCTACATCAACTATTTTGCTTGTTGAAGGATTCTCTGACATTGTTATGATATATGTAATTTAAATATGATCACCGAACTACTCTGTATCACTAGTAAACGCACACTGCTTGCTCTATTGACGACTGTTCCGATGCTCGAATCATTTCGTCATTCTTATCGTTTAGAATCGTTTAGAATGACACAAAGGAAGTTTTGGAGGGGGATTGCCAGAAGAGATAAAGACACAACACAACTTCAACACAGCATAGAGAGTTGTAACAGAAAAAAATATTTTATATATACGATATAAGATTACGAAAAATTATCTCATACTAGTTTAACCCTTTGCGATCGGCCAATTTCGAAGAGATCGATAAACATGGATATCTGTAAGTTGATCTAAACATTTTAATCTAGCATCGGGAGGATAGTTTTCTTTCATTATCGCTAGCCTCGTTTGCCGTGCCGCACGCCAGGCGATCATGAATGCCAGCCTGACGGTACCGACTTCTATGACGACTTGCGAATACCGCCACTGTGGCGGCATCGACCGCAAAGGGTTAGCATTCCTATATATTTCATAACAATATTTTTATTCCTATTTCCATTGCAATTATTATATAAAAATTTTCTCGTACACTATATATTTTATAGATAAGATTTACGGTTTTTTTGCAATTTAAATCATTAATAATATATTTAACAAACACTAATATATTTAAGAAACGCAGTTTTATTACTTAGTAATATTTTCTGTTTAATTTTTATGCTTACAGAATAAAAAAAACCATACAGCAGGGATCGAACCTCAGCCGTCAGCTCGGTAGTCCGTTACCTTCACTGCTGCGCTACACCGCTTCGTTGAATATCCTTCTTACTAACTCGTACACTTGTTGGCTCTTTTCTTTAGACCTTTTTTTCTCGAAAACGAAGAGGTATTGCGTCGTATGCTATTATCATGAGTTATTAGTCAAGTACTATTAACTCCGTAAGTTTCGTTCCAAACTGTTTCCCGGTTGATGCGTCCTCCCCTTGTAAGTTTAAAATGCACCTAAGCACAACATTACTCACGAGCATTTTACAGCTTTGATGTACACTCGGTCATTTCTATGAAAACATAACCTAATTTAGGTTAGGATATTATAGGATCCAGCTTCTCGTTCGGTATCGTTAAGCAGCACATTAGCAAAATCATCATAGGTTGCGTTCCGATATTCACTGCGAGCACTAAAAATTTATAATGTACGTGACAGAAACTATGTATTTTCAGTACTGGCAGTGAATATCGGAACGCAGCCATAGACGCAAAGCTAGCTCTAAATATAAGCCTGCCAACCCCTGTCACCCATATATCCAATTCTATACAATTTTATTAATAAAGATTACCTTCGTTATCCAAAATAATATATCGTACAGCAGCAGAGAAAATTTCATTCCGATTAATAACATATCACTTGAATTTATTCACTCACGATAAAGGAAATTACAGAAAACATATAGAATTTTGAGGCGCTCGAAAATTCACTCTGTTTTTAATTCAGATTTCTTTTTTCCTATTTAATTGAAATATTGCTCAAATTTTAATAAAACTCAAAGATATAATCATGTTCTAAAAGGAACATTTTGTTATTTTTCACTATTCTTTTCCAACAAGGACGTTTTCTAGTAAGAAACAAAACGCACGGCTACTTTTCCGGAGTCTCTCCTAAATGCTGCATCGCTGTTATTGTATAACCAAGTTAACCACAAGTTGCATGAAACGATGATTCGTCGGTACACGAAAAACACAAACTGTCGTGTGAGATAAAGTTAATATCAAACCAATAGCAGCTTTCCGCACGAGTACGCTAACTCGTCGACACACGAAAAATGTAATCTGTTGTTTGAGATAAAGTTAATATTAAACTAGTAATACAGTTTTTCACACGAGTACGCTAATAAAAGAGGGCAAATCTGGCGAAACGTAACTTCCCGACGTTTTTGTAAATCCTCGTTCGCTTGTGGACGCATTGACATGAGACGGCGGTTGCCTCGCGTCCTTAACCTGAATTTTTGATAGAATTACCTTTCAAGTTGCAAGTCGATAAGGAGCCGGAAAGCGTCCTGGCATGATTGGTTACGGCCAACAGCAAAGGTGTGGCTGTGATATGAAAAGACTTCGACTTCGGCATAAATTGTTTTTGCAATGTGTAACTGCGTGTTCGCCGCCGAAATATCGGCGAGTCGAGGAAGCTGTCGTCGTACTGCGGCATTTTATGATACCACCATCACGAAGAGCCGCGACAGATGATGTATCTCTCTCTCTCTCTTCATGGTGGACGTAACGTCGTTGCGTGTCGCACACGATCGTCACGAGATGGCGCAGCGTATTTTTAGATACGTCTCTTCTATCATGAAGATGCACTTTCACTGTGGGTCCACACTTTCACTATGCACGAGATGCTATTGTAGATAATTATCGCATATTCCGCATACGAGTCACAACCGGGTCGATGGGCGAAATCGATCGGACGAGAAAATAATGACGGAGACAAATCACAATCCTACAGAATATCCCATTTTAAACGAGTCAGGCAAAAATCTCGAAAAATATGAAAAATACTAAGAAACATTTCAGATGAAGTTGTATGATTTCAAAGGGGATATAAAACAACTATGTCACTTTGTTTATAGATGGCGCTACTTTCGAGATATTCACTGCCGTTACTTTTCTTACATGGAAACCCCAATTTTTTATTATATCGTCTTTTTCAACTAATTAATTTTAACAATTTTTATCTAAAACATTTTTTTATTTGTCTGATATTTTTTTAGATATTTGAGGAAAACCTGATGCCTTTTTCAATATTTAACTTACGATATCTCTTATGATATCTCTCTCGCTAACTATTTATCGGAAAAAAGTGGTACTAAACTTTTTTATTCTATTTCATCATCAAGAATATATCATTACAATAGGCCTGACTTTTGTTAATTTGATGATTTTTAAATTTCCATAAATCGATAAGTTAACAAAAGTTAGGGCACTGTTATAACAATATATTCTTGAGACCAAATAGAATAGAAAAAATAAATATCTCAAAAAATGTTAGGCAAATGAAAAAACGTTTCGGACAAAAGTTGTTCAAATTAATTGGTAGAAAAAGATGATATAATAAAAAATTGGGGTTTCCACTTAAGAAAAGTATCGATCAGTGAATATCTCGAAAGTGGCGCCATCTGTAAACAAAAGGATACAGTTGTTTTATGTTCCCGTTAAAACCATACAACTTTTGTCTGAAACATTTCTTAGCACGTTTCATATTTTTCGAGATTTTTGTCTGGCTCATTAAAAATAGGATATCCTATATAACAAGAGAAGAATTAACGGTAGCAATTTTTCTTCGCTGCTTTCTAGCGAGTCGATTTTGTTCCGTGTGTGTTAACGGAGGTTTCTCCCATGATAATTCTCGGATATTACTATCGACATCTTTTCTTCCTCTATTACAAGCATCTTTCTCGCTACTCGGCTCGTACAATATCCGAGAGTTCTGCACGCAACGACGGAAAAACGAGACCGGATTTTTTGCGGATACGCCGGACTGTATCAGATCACAGCAAGACTGCGAGCAAGGTTCTCATTCTGCGGACAATATCGGATATCACAAGCTTGGGTGGCTCCGAATGCACCGTGGCGTAGTCAATATCATTCCATTGAAATATCGTTCGTGACAAGCGGGTTCTATCAGAAACGGATAATCGAGTCGCGGACAATGATACGTTTCGCTAACTCCAAAAATTCATGTTTCAACATGCGAGCGGCCCATGTGCGTATTGCACGATCTATCATTCGCGTGTTTTCCGAAGATTTTCACATCGGACGGTAGATAATGCCGAGATACGGATGTAACGTGTCACGAGTCATGAACGACTGAAAGCACCGCCGAAGTTTAATCAAAAAGAGAATAAAGGATAATAAAGAGAGACGTTGCACACATTTATACAACCAAGAGGAAAAGCAATCAGAACAATTCAAGTTGAACTGAATTTCATACATGGCGAGTTAACTGTTGGAATTCTTTCAATAAAATCGTTGTGTTGTTTTAATTTCTCGCATATTTACGTAAAGTAAATTAAAAATTTAACTAAAAAACTCTCATTCTCTCAGCAAAATTTTCGTGCTCTCTTAATCTCTTGTTTGTGTAAAATAAATCAAAGATTCAGTTAAAAATAAAGAATTAACATGCGTTCGCCCAAAAAAATATAGCGGAATTTAAAAAAGTTTTGTTAATAATAAATAATTAATAAGCAGGTAAGTAAATAAAGAAATGAATAATGAATAAAAAGGACAAATTTGTCAAAAAATTCTCTGATTAATCTGGAGACAATTTTTCCTTTAAGAAATATCGAGAATAATCATTATTTATTGTAACTTTTAAATTTTCAACGTAATATATCCCAGCCAAGAACTTTAAATTAAAATTCTACAAAAAATAATTATTTCCCTAAACCTCGAATTAAGTTAAATTTCGAATTCAGTTAAAATTCACTTATTAAAATTCACTTGAAATTGATTTGGAAGATAATTTTGTTATTCAGTTAGTCTTCCGAAATTTAAATCATTGCATTTTCGATCGCTTGCATCTTGGAAATTTCGATACTTTGGGAATGTTGCAAAAATAAAAGAAAATATTTTCAAATTGCTCCAACAACCATGTTACAACATCGCCAAATTTTTACTGTGTTGACTGCATTTTTCAGTCCAAACGTTTACTCTTTCCCAGTATTTGCATCCAACAGTTATTTATTCGAGATTGCGGAATGGAAACCACCCGTTTGCCGTAGCTGATAAAAAGTCAAGCGTTTAATAGCGTCATTATTGGAGCGCACGACGAATCTATTTTTGCAAGCTCGCCATTGTTATTCTAGCCTTGATAATTCCGATCGAGCGTAAAGCCGTCGCCGCCGCCGAATGGAAATCTCGAGGTTCATAGATCGGCTGAAGCCGATGACAGGAGACCTAAATATACACACGTGCTGTGCGATATACATCGCAACCTCGAGTATTATGCCACGGTAGGTGGTACTGCTGAGGCATCAGTTTCTAGGGTGTCTATTTTAACACGTCAGATGTCCCGTCACGATTTCTGCGCTTAGCGCTTCCGCGTCGGTCCCGCAATATGTGTCAGACATAAACTTATCATGACATAACCGTTAAATGGCTGTCGCGAGTATCCAGCAATAGCGTTCCTCGAAGTCTTCAGCGCGACAAGATGCCGCTCGAAATTTCTCCCGCGAACTTCGCGTTGACTCTGCTTCGAGAGTTCGAGAGATATTAAAAAGTTGAGTTAATTCTGATCTTATTCTGTCCACTTTTATATATCACGTTTATATTAAAGAAATGGTTAAATTTACATCGATCAAAATATTTTCCGCCGTTAGCTGTAACTTTCTCCCACTTTTCTGACAACATAGCGATCCCACGACAATAGAACGATCTGTCTTTCAAAGCAATACAATTAGACACCCATTTTTACACATTCTCGTAATGATTGAAGTGTGTATCTGCCAAAGCGTGTTGCATCGAATAGTAATCAGATGCCGTTAAGTTTGGAGAGTATGCTGGATGCGGGAGGATTTCCCATTCGAGCTCTAACAATGTTTATTTAACGATTGAAGCAACATGTGGACGAGCATTATCGTGCAAAAGAATCACTTTGCGTCTATTGCTGGCTGTCGCTGGACCTTTTTACATCAATCCATCATTCAATTTGTTCATTTGTTACTGATATCGCTCCCCCGTTCCATTCGGTTTTAGATACATAATATACCATACCTTCCATACCCCACCAAATACGGAGCATTGCTTTGTGACTAGAGTTTCCAATCCTGGATACAATTTAGGATCCCGGGATTTCGGGATCTTTTAGATTCCATCCCGGGATTCCGGGACTAGTCCCGGGATTATATATATGTAAAGAAAGTAACAAGGAATATTTACAAATAATAGAATTATTTTATTTATAGAACGTTCACAAACTTTTATGAACATTATGACAAACAAAAAATAAAATTTCAGTAAAAATGAAAGCAACTTACATTAATGATTGCATAAAAACCGTTACAATTAAAAATTAAAGTTTTTATAATAAAAATAAAAATAATTATTTCTTCTTTTTCACATTTGAAAAAGCGACTTTAAAAATAATAAAACATAAATTGTTAAAAAATATCTGATCGAGGATCCCGGA